AGGAATGCCCCCTTTGGACCAAAAGCAGAGGCCGCCACTAGAGACTGTCTTCCTTGAGTCACGTCCGAAGCCATTCCGACTCCCAGTTGCATCTTTGATGCAGTGAGGAACGGAGACAAGGGGGCAGGCAAGGGGACGCTTCCAGTGAATTACGAGCAGCCAGAGCTTATCAGTTGGGTTCTTCGGCTCCAGCACAAGCTGGACTGCCTGTTCCAGTGAGACCAGTCCCACTCCTGGAGGATGTTGTGGCAGAGGGGCACAGTAGACCCCTAACCCTGCATTTTCAATTCCTTTTGATCCACCACTCTCCTGTTTACCAATGGAAAAGTAATCTACTCAATAAGAAGGAAACCTTCTGCCTTCCCGTGCTTGAGCAACTGAGTGAAACCTAAAAGTATGGCTGGCAGAGGAGGTGGTGAGATCCTGTGTCATTTCTCTCCTCCGCACAAACTTGCTGCTGACCTTCTGGCCTGGGTCAGACAGAAGGGTGCAGCGAACTACTGCTGCAGTCATCCTGGCAAGCTGAGGCAAGGAAGGCGAGGAGCGGTCCTGGGTGATGTGATCTGCGTGCCAGCTACTGAGATGGGCACTGGCTTTTTCCTTGTTTAAGAACACAGTGGTAGGCATTAGGCGGCTGATCTTACTCATACGCTTTTATAGAACAAAGTTAGAGTCCAATGGCACCTTTAAGACCAACAAAGTTTAATTCAAGGTGTGAGCTTTCGAAAGGTGCCGTTGGACTCCAACTTTGCTCTGTTGCTTCAGACCAACACGGCTACCCACCTTGATACTCTCTTATATTTCACAGATAGTGTTTCAATCTAGGTTTGGCTGAGTTGCACTCTCTTGGGCTTCTATTCTACATCTGGGTTCAGTTCCGATACTGGATCATCAGAATGTCTTACTTCACCGTGCCAGACTCGTTCTTAAAAATGCCTTTGGGAGCTCAGCAATTTTACACTAGATTTGAAAGAGCCCAGTTCTACTGTAGACAGAAATGTGAAACCTTCCTAGGCGTATAAACTGGCTTGTCTCTAGCTGCTCCGTTCCAAAAGACAGGAGGGCACTTCCGTCTTCAGAGGAGGAGGGGGGTGATTTTCCTTGGTTCCCCCCTCCCACTCCTTGTCTCTTCCAAACCCGGGGGGGGGGGGGGGAGATTAGGGAAGCTCAGTGGGAGACGGAAGCAGGGAAAGCCCACCCTGCAAGCAAGCCTTGTTGGGCACAAGCCCCCAAACCGAAGTTACTTTTCACACGGCTTCTTTGCTCAGTCACTTCTATAGTATCAAATAGTATACAGATTTTTTTTTTTAAATCCCAGGAGAATTCAGTATCCGTAACACGGCCAGCCAATCCTCTTGCGGCTGAATTATAGGTTTCCACCACCAGAGGGCAGCATCAGCTATCGACTGTGGCTTAATTACCCACATTTCTGCGCAGCACCGTTGCATCGGCCCTTAAACGGAGAGACTGGAATTCCTACAGAAAACTAACCAAAAGGCAGTCCGATGCAAGAAGCCATGCCTCCACAGAGAGGCAGTACAGATCTTGTAGGAATCTCCAGCGTAAGAGGGTGCCCCAGCTGCCGAGCTTTTCCTCCTCAACCTGGTCTCGAATGTCAGGCTATTGTGGGTGGGTGTGGTCCACTCAGACCCGCTGGAGAGCTGTGAGGGAGTGCTCAGTCAAGAGGGACTCCGGGGCTGCCTTCAGCGAGCAGCTGGGTTCCTTCCAATTCCGACTGTCCTGCAAAGCAACCAGTCCGAGCTGGATTTAGAATGATCATTCTATGTAACTGACATGCAGGACAAGTACTGACCCCTGTGCAGACAAATCCACAGCACAGGGGGGGGGGCAACCACAGCTGTGGTGTAGGAGTTTGCAGGAAAATTAAAAATATAAACAGAATAGAGTACAACTCTGCAAAAACTCTGCGGCGTCGTATCTGCAAAAGAATCCTTTGTAGTTTGGCTGGTATGGTGGATTGCCACCGTTAACTACGATGCACACCAAAGTACACCCCTGTGCGCACACATAGAATCATAGAATGTTAGAGTTGGAAGGCACCTTGCAGGTCATCTAGTCCAACCCCCTGCACTCTGCAGGAGCATAGCCGAAAGATAACCCTACAATATACCCGAAAGATGGTCATCCAGCCTCCGCTTGAAAACGTCCAGCGAAGGAGCATCCACCGCCTCCCGAGGCAGTCTGTTCCTTCCACTACTCAACCACTCTTACAGTTAGGAAGTTTCTCCTGATATTTAGCTGGTATCAACTCCCTTGTCATTTCCACCCATTAGATCTAGTCTTGCAATATGGAGCAGGAGAGAATAGATCTGCTCCATCTTCTACACGACAGCCCTTCAAATACTTGAAGACTGCAATCTTGTCCCCTCTAAGCCTTCTCTTTCCCAGGCTAAAAATACCCAACTCTTTCAGCCTGTCCTCATAAGACTTGGATTCAAACCCTCTCACCAGAGTGCGGGGCGCAACAGTGAGTTCGGGCAGGGGAGAAGGAGGGGGAAAGCGGATGTCCCCACCCTTCTGTGCAGGTCCCTCTCTTATCCAAATCCCAGTCTGAATCCAGGCCAGCAATCGACGAGACGTCTGGCAGGGCGGAATGTGAAAGCCAAGAGCCACGCAGGCCCAGGCAAACCAGGACCGGCTGCATGACCTTGGCTCAGCGTGATGTTCATGTCTCCCCCAAAGAGCGAGCCTGAGGTCCACGCCAGGCAATGAAGTCAGAATATTATCCTTACTGTCTCTCTCGATTGTTACATTCATTCATCCAAGTGGGAGGTGGAGTTGACGGTGGGGATATTTTCTAGCCAGACAATAATGAATGCTTATGACAAATGTCTTCCACAAGGTGGCACCAATGCTACCGTAGCCTTTCAGGTGGGGGCGTCGCCATGGCCGTCTGAAACAACAGAACAAAGTGCTACAGTATCCGGTCAGACTTTGACAATTTCTCGGCATCAAGCGGCTTTTTGATAAAATGCTTTCCCCCTGAAGAGGCCCCCTCCTGTGCCATATCATGACCTGCTCCTGCAGTCTAAATCTTCCCCCAGCATGGAAGTCATTCCCACATCACCCTTTTTGCCACCTCAGAATTCCATGTACTTTTTAAAAAATGTGCATCTAACTTTCCCAATTCTTTCAGTTCATACTTATGCATAGGAACAGATCTCTAACAGCTGCTTTTCTGAATATCTCCAATCGGTGGCAGAGGACTGTGCCACCCCCGCTTCCCCCAGGAAACGGCAACCTGGAAGTAAAAAATTCCACTGCTCCAAGCTAGACTTCTGCTTAAATGCTGCTTGAACCCTCCTACAACCTTGTCGTAGTGTACATGGTTTTCACCCACCGTTATCATCCATTATCATCTTCTGCACAAAGAAGAAGAGAGAAGAGATTGGATTTATACCCCGCCCTTCACTCGGAGTCTCAGAGTGGCTTACAAACTCCTTTCCTTTCCCCTCCCCACAACAGACACATTGTGAGGTGGGTGGGGCTGAGAGAACTCTGACACAAACTGCTCTTTTTCAAGGACAGCTGTGCCAGAGCTTGTGACTGACCCAAGGTCACATCAGCCAGGTGCAAGTGGAGGAGTGGGGAATCAAACCCGGTTCTCCCAGATTAGAGTCCGCACACTTACCCACTACACCAAACTGGCTCTCAACAACAAAGCACTTTTGCTTCTTGTTGATGCTACAAAGCAACCCCCCCCCCAAAAAAAACCCCTCCCTCCCTCCATCTACAGTAAGATTTTCAACAGATAACTCTGAACCTCTGACAAAAGGAACATGGGAGGCTTAAAGAAAGATCAGCAAAGAACCAGACCCTAGGTAGAATTTATTGGTACATCGAACAATAGGATGGGTGGGTGCAGCTTCACTGCATGACTCAAGGGTCTCGGGTCCTCTGCACGGAACGATCTGGCTCCCAGGTGGCTCTGCTTTTCTCCGCTCAGTCCAAATACAAGAAAGGGGGGGGGTACTGATGAGGTTGAAGCCCCCCTACTGTGCTCTTCTAGCCATTAGCATCTCCCGGATGTTATCTTCAGCCTCTTTAACACTCCGCTCCAGGTATGACTTTCTTTGCTGAAAGACACCAGAGCACAAGAGAGAGAGAGAGAGAGTGAGGGCCAGTATTGGTTACATGGGAAACGTTGGGGGCACATGTGACTGGAGGCCCAGCTGCAGCATCAGAGGAGTTCCTGCAACCTTCAGTCTGGTGGGCCAGGGGGAGCTCTAACATTACTGTGAGATAGAACAAAGTTTCGTGCGTGCACACGAAAGCTCACACCTTGAATAAAACTTTTGCTGCGGTCAGACGGAGACGGAAGATAGGCGGATTTTCCGGGCGCGATCACACTGCCACATCTGGGAAGCGTAGAGCTCCCGTGGCGAACCCGAGGCTTCCCGCCGAAGATGTGGAGTTAAAAACTAGTACCTCCGAGGCAAACAGGTTCCCCCCCCTAAGTCTCCACAAGATGCGCACAAGCACCCAACGGTGCATGCGCACAAAGAGGGAAGCGAAAGTGCCGTTTCAGCTTTAAAAAAAAATAATAAATGACCCCGTTTGTCACGGCAGCGGCGCCTAGCCATTGCTGGTGTGATTGCGCCACGCCACTTCTTTGCCGTGCTGCAGGATCGTCGTGTGATCGCCACCCTCGTTTACCCGCCAGTGCCGAGGGAAGGACCCGTGGTGTGCCGCCGGCGTGTCTGATCGTGTAATTGCGGATCAAACTGCGCCGGGCAATTAGCCACGCCTCCCCCCCGCGCGATATCCGGCCCGTGTGTCCGGGGCCTTTGTTGGTCTTAAAGCTGCCATTGGACTCCAACTTTGTTCTGCTGCTTCAGGCAAACACGGCTGCCCACCTTGATTCATTACTATGAGATGCACCTCAAAGAACAGTGCCCCGACATTTTAAGCAAACCTTTTAGGTTTCTGGGTGAAATCAAACTCCACCAAATCTTTTCCCCCCAACAGACTCTCCCTGTGGGGGAGACAATCTTGTAAGGAAATTCTTTAAACCTCAGGTGTATGGGTTCCCGAGGGGTGCCTGGGTTTGTCATTTTGCTAGGACAGACAGAAAGCCCCGAGGCACCTGAAACGCCAACAAGATGTATTCCTTCTGTGGATCAGAATCTGCTCCATCAGATGTGTGAAAGGGTCACCTAAATAGGAAGTTTACACGCACACACCCCAGTACAGACACAGCACAAGGAACAAAGGGCTGGCTTTTTACCAAGTGAGGCCAAAAGGCCAAGCATTGCGTGAGATTACGGTGGGTGTGTCACGGTAGTACAAGGAGCAGTAAAGGGTATAGAATCCAATCAAAGGCACAGAAGATCCAATAAGCGTGGGTGTGATCCTCGGGCTGGCTAGCGGCCACGGGAGATGAATAGCACGGCAACATCAACATGGTAAACAAACACCTAATGAAAGCGAGCTGGCCACTCCCGACATTCGTTGAGACGAAATTCCATAGGGATCAAACACAGCGGTACTACACTAGAATCTCCAAAGTCTCCTTCTGGGATGTTATTGTCCGGAGAATCGAGACTTTTAAGGTCTGCTAATGAACTCTCTCTAGAAGCCGAAATCACTAAAGTGAGGCTATCGTACTTTGGTCACATCCTGAGAAGACCAGACTCAATGGAAACGACAATAACGGTAGGAAAAGTTGAAGGCAGCAGGAAAAGAGGAAGAGCCAACATGAGGTGGATGGACTCAATCAAGGAAGCCACAGAGGCCCTCAGGCTGCAAGACCAGAGAAGGTGATAGGATGTTTTGGAGGTTATTAATTCATAAGGTCGCCATAAGTTGGAACCGACTTGATGCCACTTAACACAGAGAGAGAGAGAGAACGTGCTGCGGTGACCAACACTTTCCGAGTGTCACCATTTTTAATCTCTTTTTTTGAAGGGGGTCAAGTCACAACCTACTTATGCCCAGAATTCAACTTTGTTGGTCTCTTAAAGGTACCACTGGATTCAAACTTTCTCCTACTTATGGCAACCGCTCAGAGGTAAGAGATGAGCAGAGGTGGAATGACTGTTGCCCTCTGCGCGGCAACCCTGAACTTTCTTGGTGGTCTCCCGTCCAAGTACTAACCACAGTGGATCCTGCTTAGCTTCTGAGCTCTGATGAGTCTGGACCAGAGTTCCCTCTAAGCTGAGTTAGTGTGAGCTAGCTCACAGTTTTTTAGCCTCCGGCTCACACCTTTCTGTCTTAGCTCAGGAAGGACGGCTCCAGAGCAAACTAACTGATGCAGCAGCCAAATCGCTCGCTCACAACTTTAATGCCAGAAGCTCACAAAGTAGAATTTTTGCTCACAAGACTCCACAGCTTAGAGGGAACATTGGTCTGGACTACCCCAAGCAGCATGGGCCCTTGTTCTCTTATGTAGAGACCGATCCATTTGGCCTGTTTAGACAGGAGGGGGCTGCTTTATCTTTTGCACTCCGTTTTGGTCACACTGACAGGATTCGGGTTGGTGTCAGTGTCCCCTCTAAGCTGAGTGAGTGTGAGCCAGCTCACAGTTTTTTAGCCTCCAGCTCACACATTTTTGTCTCAGCTCCGGAAGGATGGCTCCAGAACACACTAATTTATGCAGCAGCCAATTCACCTACTCACAACTTTAATGCCGGTAGTTCACAAAGTAGAATTTTTGCTCACAAGACTCCACAGCTTAGAGGGAACATTGGTTGGTGTGTGTTTTTTAATTTAAGATCATGACTGGTCATCATAAGACTTTAAAGCATGAACTGAAGACTCCAAAATCTCTCAGCATATGGGTAGGCTTCAGAATTTCTGAAGAACAGCAAGCCGAGATCAACATTAGGAGTGGGAAACAGCTTTGCAGGCTCTCTCTCAGGTACACTTGGCTGCACCAGCTGAACACGCCACACTAAACAGCGGGCAAGTTTTATCCCAAGTCACCATAGTGATGTGTGTCACATTTCCTCATGCTAACAACATTCTCACTAAGGGATACGCCTTCGCACAAGAGCCGGCATAGTAGTCCAATTTAGAATTTCCTGCAGCTCACAGGTCATCTGCGTTCCTACCCGTGGAACAACATCCCCACAATCTCCAGGAACAACTGTACACATCCGGCAACCTGAGGCCAAAGTCTCCACTTGGCACCCACTCAGGGGGGGGCCTCTTCCGCCTCTGCTCTCAGGAACTGGCCAGGAGGAGCCGCAACCTCTCAGTGGCCACGGGAGAGGTTCTAAGAGGGCTTCGGCTTCCTTGGCTGTCTGCTCCCGGATGGGTGGGTCTATGCAGGGAGCACAGCACGGGCCATAGATGGAGAGGGCGGAGTCGGAGAACCCCAGTCAGACTGGCACCATGATCTCGATGGCCCAGGCGGGCCCAGTCTCATCAGGTCTCAGGAGCTGAGCAGAGTTGATCCTGGTTAGCAGCAGGACGGGAGGCCACCGAGGATGTCCAGGGTTGCTAAACAGAGGCAGGCCATGGCCAACCCGTCTCTTGCTTTGGAGACCCTACACAGTCGCTGTGAATCGGCTGTGACTCGACGGCACTTCCCACCACCACCTATCAGGTGGCTTCTGAAAACCCCGGCTACTTCACTCATCCACAGACAGCCCTCAAACCACCACCAGTGCCAAACAGCATGGCCAGGTATATAAAGAGGCTGGTTTTTGTTTTGTTTTTTAAACTTGGCTAAAAGAAGAACAGAGCTGCGGTGGCTCAAGTGGTCAAGACGCTGAACTGCAGGCTGCGGAAGGTCGGTAGTTCAGCAGTTCGAGACCCGGGTGCCGCATGACGGAGTGAGCTCCCGTCTCTAGTTCCAGCTCCTGCCAACCTAGCAGTTCGAAACCGAGAAATTGCAAGTAGATAGTCAGTCAGTCAGTCAGTCATTTATTACGGCAACAAGCCATAGAACACACATGCTTAAATATAACATTCATATAACTGAATTTAGGACAGTAAAACAAAATTCTATAAAAATACAGTTGAGCGTAATAAGTAAAAGAAGAACATAAAACAGAGACTATTAGGCAACTATTATTATACATTTGATTGTGTATTTCGGATGCAGTAGCATGCTACCCAAAATTTTGCCACAGTTGCGGTAATTGTCCGGTTCCCATCAATTAACAATCGGTTACATTGCTCAGCACCTGATTGTCCCACCATATCTGTTATAAGAGGAGTAATATATTTGTCACGGATCTTGTTATACCAGTTACATCTGAGCATCATGTGCTCAATAGTTTCTGTCTCTCCTGAGCCGCATCGACAAAGTCTATATTCAGTGGGGATCCTTTTGAATCTGCCCTCAAGCATCGCGGAGGGGAAAGCCTCACATCTGGCTAGGTTTTCCTAAACTTATGAGTATCAAGCTGTGATAAATAGGACATGGGTCGCAAGTGATATTTGACAGAATCTGGGGCTCTAAAATTAGGACATCTACCGAGATCCGTCTGTCTCTCCATGTCCATCATTCTCTGTTTTAGGGCTGATTTTGCTACATCCCAATGCATACTCAAAATCGCTTGGGGGGAAAAACCAAGCTCATATAATTTATTATGAACTGCTGTCAGCTGCTGTAGAAAGTACACACAACGTGTATATCGGTGGGGCGGGGGGGAGTTCAAAAGTGGGCACCCAACAGGAGGAAGTGGCAGTGCTTCGAATCGCACACACAGCCAGTTCAGACATCACACCAAACCATACTTTGTGCTAACCCTGGTTTAGATGTTCTAAAAAAATAAAATGGGCCGGCTTGCATTCTCTGCCCCTCGGCACCCGGTTGTAACAAACCATTCCCTTCTCCCGTTTGCGAACCCATTCTCGAGCAGACCAAGGGCTGGAACTCAGGTGGTGGTTGGAAGTGGGGGGTGATTTTCAAATGTATACTTGCCTCTCCAGAAACTTAGTAGTGCCTTACAACAAAAATCTAAAATACAGCATCGTCAGTAAAATATGAAAACAGTTCACTGAACAACCGCATCAACTATAAATCATAAGCCCACTCCCACCATGCTGTGCTAAAGGCAACAGCAACAAAACCAGCCCTCTTGAAAAGGTCTGCAAGAAAGAACTCTGCAGACCGCCTGGGAAA